GGACGAGAGCTTCCATCCTTCTCCAACTTCAGTCAGTCTGATCTCTGATGCCTTTTGAAGTCCCATTTTTAAAGAGGTCATTGCTGGCTTTTCCAAATAGATAGAGATTATGCACTTCAGAAAACCTGAAATGCAGAAACTACTCTGCGGGTATGCGAAGTGCCCAAGAGTGATCTGGTCCTTTGAGGAAGCATTAGAAAAATCACCATATGGTGGTATTTTGTTATGCATGCTAGTAGACTCTGCACATTGAAAAGTAGAAAATAAATGTCAGTGCCAAACTGGAGGGTAAGTGATTCTCATATCTAATTGGCAATAATAATAAAATAATCTATTTCATTTTTTAATGGACAGTTTGATCTGAGTACACGCTGATGTTGGGAGATCGAAGGACTATTGCAGAATGCATTCTGCCAGTTTTTATAGCTCAGGAAAGGGTGGAAATGGCTGCTTTTGTTTGTGGCAGCAAATCCAGTTCTCCTAAGGTAGTGAACTAACTAATTGGCAATTCTTTTAAATGAACGAATATATCGAAAGCTCAAACATTAGTCAATAGTCATTACTTAGAACATGTGACATCAATATTTTTATTGATTCACAAAGGCATCAATGAATATTTAGGTCATAACGTACTTTCTGGTAGCATTCATTCACTTTATATGTCCATTTGACTCAGACACATTAAGTAAGACATATTAAGTTGCAGTTCTGTGGAGATTGCAATCCCAGTAGTATTGGCTCCTTAAAACACACCCTCACCATTTCAATTAAAATTAGAGCAACCTTTTGTCTTGTAAGCTTTCTGTATTATAAATTCCTTTAAGTAATAGGAAAGGATGGTGAAAATTAAAGTTTTCCAAAGATTTAAAAATATGTTTATGTATTTAATACATATATACCTTATGTACACTAGCTTAAGTTTTTTTTTTTTTTGCCTTTTTGGGTCGCACCTGGTGATGCACAGGGGTTACTCCTGGATCATGCACTCAGGAATTACTCGTGGTGGTGCTCAGGGGACCATATGGGATGCTGGGAATCGAACCCCAGTTGGCCACGTGCAAGAAAAACGCCCTACCAGCTGTACTATCACTCCAGCCCCTTAAGTTTATTAGCTATTATAGTACAAAGCTTAACTTCTATTTCATGTTAACCTCTTATCCTGTGACCTCAGAGTCCCATTAACTTTACTTGGTGGTTGGTATTTGTACTACTGTAAATTCTAAAATATTCTGTAGTCTTCAGGGATTGTGAAGTATAAATTTCAAAACACTTTGACAGTCCTACTCCCCAAGAAAGGGTTAAGAATTTCGGGGGGTGGAAATAAAGAATTTGGGGGAAGGTGAAAATTGACAATATGTTAGCTTAAATATGCCAATGGAGATTGTTTATGGGGTTAATCTTTCCAAGTATATTTATCTACCACAAATCGATTTAAAAAGGGGGGAAGGGTTGCTGACCGAAGGTGTTAATCTGGTCGATTGAGACTTTATTTTACTTCTCATTTTCCCCAAAGCTGCCTAGCACCAGGTAGGAAGATTTGTTACTGATTCCAGGAAGGTAGGCACCGGGTCCCCTTAGCGTTTGTTCAGTAGTTTGCCGGCGTTCACACTTCAGTACTCCCTAAATCTGAAGACTGGAAACAAAAGGGTTACTTATTTCCCCACCACCGCCTTTACCCCCAGATCGATTTTTCTTATTTAATCAGCGAGTAAAAAGAGAGAGACATACGGGGAGGGAGGAGGAGAAGGGGTGTGTTTGGGGGGGAGGGGGTTGGAAGTAGGGCAAAGTGGTGGGGGAGGGTTGAGAGCCAGAGGCTGCAATACTGAAAATCAGTCTTGGGAGTTCGCGCTGCCGCGTCCTTGCCACACGGAAAGCGAAGCCAGAAAAAGGCTCCCAGGCATTTCCACCCCGCCAGCCTCCCCTTTTCTCCTCGTGCCGCGCTAGTGCCTCATTTGGCTTCCTCTGCCACCGAGCGATCACATACATTATTTCCCCCAAGATAACACAATCAAACGTGTATTTACCGACATCCTCTCCTCGCAGCTTGTTTGAGATTGGTTTTAATAAATAAGGGTTTTATGTGAATGGTGTCGTAATTGAAACGGGCACGCTTTTTTCCCCCTCCCTTCTCCTCTCCCCAGCTTACTGCAGGAGGTTCCTCACCCCCCCACCCCCCAATCTGGTTGGAAAATAAAACGCTTTGTCTCCACCACCACCCCCCACCGCACCCCCACTCGCTCCCAGTGTGTGTTTTATACGTGTGTATATCTCAACCCCCACAGTAGCCCAGAGAAAGCAGCTAGCCAATCAGAGCGCCGAGTTTCATAAAAGCTGCTCTCTGATTGGCCCGGTGCGAAAGGGCAATGGGAACAAAGAAAAGTCCCTTTCAGGTATAGAGGCTGAGAGCTCCTTTTGCTCCACTCCCCCTGAGTGTGTGTAGTGTTTCAGTCCTGATTTCAGTGTTACAGAACAAGCTTCTTGTGTGTGTGCACCAGGGGGATTTTTCTTTATCTTTTTTTTTCTCCTTAATTTTTTTCTTTTACTAAAAAAAAAAACACACAGGACGGTCTGTGACATTTGAAGGTTCATCTTCTTTAATAATAAATTTGTTGAAGAGCTTGTAATTTCCAAAATAAAGCGGCTGCAACCAAACACATTCAATGCAGTTAGAAGGAAAAGGTCAACTCGATCCAATACAGACCGTAAGTACGGTTGCGTGGTGTGTCTCTCTATAGCACTTAACGGGGACTTCATGCAGGGGAATGTGCGAGTTTGATGCATTGAAATGAGGAACTAGTTACAGGCTTTGCCTTTTGCATTGAGAACAACAACCCAAGAAGGGTGACTTAAGTCAGTGGAGGGTGAAGCATTTCGAACTTCACACAAATTAAGCTTGACTGGGCAGTCGGGGGAACTTAGAGTAAATTACCTTTGGGTCTCTACCCCAAAGAGAATAAAAGTGACACAGTTACATATCCTGGGCTGTAGTGTCCATTCTCTAGCTCACCCCACTCCTTCCCTCTCTCCTTGCTGGGCAGAGACCCGGTTTCCAAACCTAGCTTGGAAAAAAAATATGTGGGGCAAGGACAGAACAAGCCGATTTCTGTCTCCTTGTCACATCCTAGTGCCCAATAATTTAATATTAAATAAGGAAATAGTCACCCATTACATGTAATGGTTATAATTACCATTTTCCATCTCCTTAAAAAAATAGCAAGCAGCAAAACACCATTAAGAGGGGCAGCCCCACCCAACCCAAACAAACCCACAAATACTAACAATGGTGTGTTTATTACAAGACCTGGCTTGGGAGCTAACAAAATGTTTTTCTTTGTTTAAGACATGGGGTGAGGGCCCCCTAAAATCCAAGCAAGCTCTGAGGTGCTCTCCGCGCCCCCCCTCCCCCGCTTTGGCTTCCCTGGCCCCTTGGGAGGGCCGACAAATTGGAGATAAGTTGAGGAAAGGTTTATAAGGTGTTTCTTTAAAACATCTGCTTGGCTCTCGAGCTCATTACATTTCACTCCTTGCGAACTTCCGAGATCCTAGATCCATGAGAAATGTTTCACATTCATAACTTGTAGCTGCGCCCACTGCAGGGGGCGGTGGGAAGGCGGCGGCGGCGGGGTGGGGTGGGGTGGGGGTGGGTGTTGGAGCAGAGTGGGCAGGGGGAGGGAGAGACCTTCAGCTTTTTTTTTTTAAAGACCAGATCAGTATTTTCTTGATACGCTTGTCACCATTTTTGTTCTCACGACAACCAATTGAGCCCTTGATCCTCACGTGACGCGAAAAGCTTGCACTGTAACAAAATCGCTCCTTTTAGATGGTTGGTCCTTGCTAACTCGCCCATCCCCCACCCCACCCCCGGCCCCGACATTTCCAGCAAAGCGACTCTCCACTTCCAATCCATCAACAATTCATTACTGCTTTTAGCTTCCAAACGCCAGCTAATTAAAAATACGAAGCCAAGCTCCCGGGCCATCTGACTAAACACAGGAGGGAGGAGGAGCGGGCGGCGGGGGCGAGGGGGAGGGGGCGTGCAGGAAGGTGGGCGCAAGAGCAGGAGAGAAAAATAAATAAAAGGGCGACGCACCGTTTGCTGCGACTTATAAATGGGGAAAAACTGTCCGAGCGTGGGGGCGGGGGAGGGGAATTCCCCCCCCAACTCTAATGATCGAATTACCGCATGACTGATTGGCTTGAGCGACAGCGGATTTCCCCTACACCCCCCACCCCCACCCCGCCACCTCGGGGACCCTTACGAGGAACTCGGTTCCTTTTTCTTAAAATACAACATAAAACAGGAAAGCAGCACATTCTTCAAGGTTTCGGAGACGGAGCCCGTTTCAAGCGCCGTTATTTTCCCCCAGCCCAGCGCCCCCCGCCCCGAGCGAAGGCTGTTAGAACGGGTCCCCCGGCCCGCTGAATCATCTGCTCCCCTCCCCCTCCGCACCTTTCTTCCTCGGCCGGGGCTCGGCTCCGGGTCCCACCCTTTCTTCCTACCCCGCTCCAGCCCCGGCGCCCCCTCCCCTCCTCCTCCTCCCCTCCCCCACCGCCCTCCTCCTCCCCACCTCCCCTCCCCTCCTCCCCGCTCCTGCCCCCTCCTTTCCTCTTAAGTTAGTTCAAGAAATCAAATCTGTCAGGACGGGCGGAAAAATGCCACTTCCCGACTAACAGGCGGAATCCAGCCCAGATTTTCAGTCCTTTCTTCTTCTTCTTTCTTCCCTTTCACTAATTTATCCCGATGTTAGCACATTCTGTCTTGTTACTAGCGGACGCCTGTAGGTTTGCTACATGGGATCATTACTTACTGATCACACGGTGACTCTGAAGTCTGGGACTGAAGGCGGAATGAGAAGTTGGGAAAACTTTTTTCTCTAGACTCGCTCGCTCTCCTCGCTCTTAATTTTTTTTTTTTTTTACTTTTTGATTTTTTTTTTTTAAAGATTACTCTTCTCGATGCTGGTTCAGAGGAAAAAAACCCTTTGGTGCTTGTGTTGTGAATGTGAAACATTATCTTCCAGCTGTACAGTGACACATTTTTTTAAGGAAAAAGGACTCCTGATCCGTTTGCCAAAAAAGAAGGGTGGGGGTGGGGTGGCGAGGTGGAATAATGTTATCGAGTGATTATTCTGGCTGAGATGTGTTATTTGGTTTCTTCCTTCTTGATCATTTGGTGTTTAAGTAAAATGAGGCACAGGCTTGTTTGCCGAGTGGAGTGGGAAAGGCATTTTGATTTGCTGGCCTAATTTTAAAAAATGATAAAGGATTAAAGGTAAGCAATGTCTGTGTGTGTATGTATATTTATTTATTTTTCTTGACAACTGTTAAAAGGGGCTGATCCCTTTAAAAACCGTTTTAACTGATCTTTGTCAAACACACACTCATTTGCGGTCATTGAGGCCACGTTGGCGCAGATCACTTAAGTGTATGTCTTAATCAGTTTCCCTCCAGTCAGTAGCAGCATAGCAGATTGAGCAAGTCTGACATCGAAATACTGGAGAATTGTTTAGATGTGATTTTTTCCCCTCAAAAGGCAGCTAATTTAACCTTGTATATCACACTGTCTTTTCTATTGAGATAGGCTCTTGAAAGGCATGTGTATGTGTATTTAAAGAAATTGTATACTAACTTGGGAAAGAGAAGAATGAATGTGTGTGGAAGAAGGGGGTGTTGTAGGTTGCTTCCCCCCACCCCTGTTCCTTACTGGGAACAAAAACCAGATTGCCCAGACAATTTGTAAAAAGAAGTAGTAAAATTAGAAATAAGGATAATTTAGCAGCATCATTCTGAAACTAGCTTCAGAGAACTTCCAGGGTCTGACGGTTTAAATTGCAGGAGCTAGGTCGAGATTCCAGCGGCATTTCCTCCCTCCTGAGGGTCAGTCGAGTCTGTTTTCTGGGCTTGACACACATGGATGTGCTGGTGGGGGGTGGGGGGTGGGATCTTAAAACTACTTAAAAAAAAAGACAAAACCTTATTGGGCTGAATTCAGATCCTTAAGATATTTTAATGCCTTTTACAAAGTGTTTGTCCTGGAGGTGTTGATAAAGGGATTTTCTGTTCTAGTGGTTTTAAGATGCTTCCAGTCATGGGTATGTGTTGGGGGCTCGGTTATTGTCCTTTAAACCTGATTCTGAACTGTGGAGACAATACATGAGCACCTCACTCTCCAGTCCTTCCCTGTAACCCCTTTACCGACTCCCCAGTATTAATCGTTTTTTTGTTCTGGCAACACCCAGACAAGAAATATTCGACTTTTCCCTCCTTCACAGGAAAAGGTGGACCTGGACTGAAAGGGTGTAATAACCTCCCTGGACACAAGTGCTGGGGCCGAAAAAAAAAACAAACAAAACAAAACAAAAACCAGAAGAGGAAGATTCGAAGATTTTTTTTTTCTTTTCTTTTCAAAGAGGAAAAACCCAGCGGAGCTAAACGAATGTCCCCTCATCTCCAAAGGAAAGTTCATCGGATTCTTATTCTAGAGTGCTCATCTTCAGGATGTCAGTGAATATTTCCACGGCAGGAAAAGGTGTGGATCCAAATACGGTTGATACTTATGACAGTGGCGATGATTGGGAAATCGGGGTTGGGAATTTAATCATCGATCTGGACGCTGATTTGGAGAAGGACAGACAGAAATTTGAGATGAATAATTCCACCAGCAGCAGCGGCGGCGGCGGCGGCGGCAGCACGGGCAGCGGCGGCGGCGGCGGCGGCGGCGGCGGCGGCAGCAACTCCTCGAAGGATTGTGGCGGGCTGGCCTCCAGCGGGGCCGGGGCCCCCGCCGCCCTGGCCGAGGGCCTCAAATTCGCTCCCGTGCAGCCCTCTGCTCCCCAGGGGAACGCGCACAAAGAGAGCAGCAAATCAAAAGTGAAAAGGAGTAAAACTTCCAAGGATGCTAATAAATCTCTGCCTTCCACCGCCTTGTATGGGATTCCCGAGATCAGCGGCACGGGCAAGAGGCAGGAAGTCCAAGGGCGCCCTGGAGAGGCAACTGGCATGAATTCAGCGCTGGGTCAAAGTGTGAGCGGCGGCGGCGGCGGCGGCGGCGCCCCGAACTGCCACGGCGCCGGCCCGGGCCCCTCCGCCGCCGCCGCTGCCGTGGCCGCGGCGGCGGGGGCGGCCTCCGGGGGGAAAGGCAAGGAGGAGAAGGCAGGGAAAAGCCAGAGCAGCCGCGGCGCCAAGCGGGACAAGGACGCGGGCAAGGCCAGGAAGGACAAGCACGAGCTGCTGCAGGGCCACCAGAACGGCAGCGGCGGCGGCCCGGCGCCCCCCGGGGGCCACCTCTACGGCTTCGGGGCCAAGAGCGGTGGAGGGGCCGCGAGCCCCTTCCACTGCGGGGGCGCGGCGAGCGGCGCGGCGGCGGCGGCGGCGGCGGCCGGGGAAGTTAGCAAAAGTGCCCCCGACGCGGGGCTCCTGGGAAACTCGGTGCTGGGAAAGAAGGAAGAGGAGGAGGAGGAGAGCCACAGGCGAATCAAGAAACTGAAAACCGAGAAGGTAGGATCAAGTCGCCTTCCTCGATCTCCCACTTTTCCTCTGTGTGCACCCCGGGGGAGGGTGTGTGTGTGTGTGTGTGCGGGCGCGTGCGCGCGCGCGTGTGTGTGCGGGCCCGCGTGGGTGTGTGGGTGTGTGTGGGTGTGTTGCCCCGTGTGCCTTCACGCTTCCTCCTCCTGCCTTTCTCTGGTTCTTTGTACGCTCTGTAGCCTGGGTGATTAGTATTTGGTGTGTAGTGGGTGTGTTTGCCGGGGGGGGGGGGGGGTTGTCTCATTCTCGGGGAGCACTGGTGAACTCTTGCTTCGCTGCGGCTGCGACTGCTGCTTTTGTGGGGCTGGTCTTGGAGGGCGGGGGGGGGCGCGGGGGAGGGCGGAGGGGACAGGTGGGAGGGCCAGAGAGCTCCAGGTACCTTGTGCCCTGCCAAGGGCTCCCGTAGACAGCTCTGAGCCGGGCGCCTTTACCTGCAGAGCCTGCCCGTGCACCCTACTTGTCCGGTGGCCTGGATTCCCCCCGCCCCCTCTCCCCCGCCAGGAGAATGTCTCCTGTTTTAATTTACACGTCCTGGTATTTCTGGCAGTGCGTCCTCAGCAGGGCTCACATGCCCTCCCTGGAGAGCTATGTCGAGGATTCTAATTTACACTCCATCCTCAACTCCTCCGCTATTTTTGCTACTTTCTCTAAAATAGTTCTGTCAAAGGCTATCTGCCTTGGCTGGCTTCCTGTTACGGGGCCTGACATCAATACCCGCTCAACCCCTTGGGTTGGTGGTTTCATAACTATTTGGAAAGAGAGCAATGGAATGGCTGGGGGGAGGGGCTGCCCTGCCCCCGCCCCCTCGCTCTCCCCCCCACCTCCCCGCCCCCCCCCCTTTGGAAACTGGAGCTTTAACAGGGTTCTGGCTTGCTTTAGGGGACCTGAAAGGTTAGTAAGAAAAGTGAGATTTGGATCGTGTAGATTGGTGTTCCCGAGAGGAAAACGGGCCCGGACTTAGAATTCGTGTCACCTTTGAGCCAGGAGGGCTGGTTGATGTTGGCGATTTGGACCTTTCCTCCCATCTTGGCCATTGTCTGAGAGTCTTGTTTAACAACATTGCCTTGTGGGGGCTCCGTGTTGGAACCCTGTGACTGATTGGCCTGGGGTGGGGGTGGGGGGTGCATTTGAGTGACGTTCCTGGACTGGAAGGGGCTCTGCCCGCGGGGCAGCTTGGGAGTGGTGGGGGGGTAGAGGGATGATTCTCTGCAGTTAGTCTATAGCTTCATTTTGGGTGTACCTTGCAGAAATGCAGCTTTATATCATGTGGTTTGTGGGGCATAGTTGTTTGTAAATAAAGCTCAGGAGATGTTAGGATTTTTGCTGTTTTCTGTCACATGTTCTTGGGTAACTGTATTGTGTGTGTGTCCCCAAGTATTCATTGCTCACTTTTTTAAACCCTTGTACTTTTTAAACCCTTGGATTTTGATTTTTGTGTGTTCAGTATTGAAGAACAAGTTCAGAAGCAAAGTTTCGATTTTCAAATTTTAGGTGGTATAAAGGTACATTGAAGTGTTTGTCATGCATAAATCTCGAAGTGTTTTTTGTTCATTTCCCCTTGGCCAGGCAGCATTTCACATGGTTGAATTTCAGTGGGCTTTTCCAAAAATCCCAGTTTAAATATGTAGTTCCACCTAATTTCTGCTAAAAGGCATTCTAAAATCTTCTTATTACTGAGTACAGTAGGGCCTTTACTTCTATGCCAATAGTCTTCAAATTGCAGTTCTAATCTGCTCTAACTATCTAGATGAATTGCCCTAATCCGGTGCTCACAATGGCTGTGGTTAAGGAGTCAGAGCCATTTGATTGGATTCACTGCTGCCTGGAATGTGGGAGGTACTGCCCTTTTGCATTCTCCTTAGCCTTTTAATCTTCCAGCCAAATGTTCACATTCAACAATTTTGTTTAGCTGGCAATCGGAACATTTCAGAATCTCAAAGGCTGCTGTCATGGCAACTGAGATTAGAGTGCGGTGTCGTTTCTCCAGTTTTGTGTTCTTTTCACTTTCCAGTCACAGAGGAAACTGGCTGGAGAAGGGAAGAATGAAATGATTCACATACATGCAGTGCAGCTTCAGGCCGAGGGTTCTAAATGTAATCATTGGAATTACATGAATGTAGAGCAAACAGGCCCAGTGGGTGTTGGTGGAGGAGGGGAGGTAGCAAAGCTTTTGGAGGCTTGGAGTCACCCGCCCAATCCTGCCACTCAGGGCCACTGCGGTTGGCTCTGAAGGGCCCGATTGCTGTAAGGTTGGCTCTGTTCTCTAGCTGGGTTGGGGTTCCTCACAGTTACCCCCTAAAGCTTTCCTCTCCACCACCCACCCCACCCCAAAGGTAGTTTTCATCCACCAGCACAGAGGTGGGATCAGTGGACAGAATGTGGCACCTGGGGAGGAAAACTTGAAATCCACAAATTCGTGGTTGTGTGAAATTAAACTTGGATTTGGAAAATACTTAATGACAAGGGGCTCCTTATGGAGAAGCTAAAAGATTCAGTAGTTCGCCTGACAAAATATTTCAACAGAAAGGCATCTTGGAGGAAGGCTTTTTCTTTCCTTTTTCCTTCTCGTACCATGTTTTATTATCTTCTGCTTTGCCTGATTATCTGGGTTTGTGAAGAGTAAGTGCCTTAAAAGTGAAGATGATTAATTTTCAGCCATCAAATGTGGCACAGGAGGGGGCCAACTGTGAAGACCCATGGGGGGGGGGGAGAGAGAGAGAGAGAGAGAGAGAGAGAGAGAGAGAGAGAGAATGTGTATGTGTGTGTGTGCGCGCGAGAGAGTGTGCACTTGTGCACATGGGGGTGCACTTTTTTCTTTTTTGGTTGGAAGGTTCACAGGAGATTCATAAGACTTGCTGTCACCGGTTAATTTTCACAGCATGCCTAAATGTCTATTTTTGGTCTGTTTATTCTGTTTCCTTACTACACAAAGTCATGTAAAACATGATAAATTGGACCCTATGAAACCTAATTAAATCAATGAGTGTTCTACTCCTTTATGTGGAAACCACAAGTATGTTGTAAAAGTCGCCACTCCCTTAATACGTGAACAAAATCAAAACATGCCATAATTCTAAGACGTTTGAGCTATATTTCTATAGCCCATTTTGTGGTTAAGCCACCAGTGACATGTCTGAATAAGTAGGTTTGATGGGTTGGCTTTTGGTTGGGAAAACCTGCTCTCCCACCTTCCCCCTCCTTTCTTTGGAAGCACATAGCAGCCTGCACTGGAGGCTCTTCATGTGTCCTGTTTAGCTTTCACAGTTGGAAGGAACTTCACAGACAACAGGCGTTTGGTTGTCTATATAGAGGATGTGGACTGATTTGATCCCCGGAAAATTAAAAAATACACAGAAAATTCTTTAAAGTGGCCGAAACTTAAATAAACATGAAAGGCACGGGGGTAGGGGAGGGGGAGGGGGGCACGGCAGCAGGCGTTGATGATTGAGTCTTAGGCTCCTGGGTATTCAGCACTAATTCAGCTGAAAGGTGGTGTCTTCAGACCTCTCTGAGAAGGATATCATTCGTTTCATTTGATTCTCTCGTAGATGCCTTTTTACTCTTCACTAGGGAATTCTGGCTTATCTAAGTGTGTGAGCTATTTCAGAACATATTTTGTTTGATGAATGAGTCTCGTGGACCATGTGCCCCCTACAAATTCTGCTTAGAGAGTGCAGTTTATCTGCTGTGAAATAAAAGGGCAGAGAGGTCAGTGGCTATAATTAAAGGACAAAGTCCATTGTTGTTCGACAGCAAACTGTTTTTGAAAGCTACATAAGGGATTTAGCTGTTGAAAACCTTAGTAGCTAAAGGCACCTCGCAATGCGCATGGACCAGGCCTCTCCTTTTCTGTTGCCTCTCTCCATAGGTGCCAGGGGTTTTTCGAGGTGACTGCGAGGAGCAGCTATCCTTTCCCTCACAAGTTTCCTGTGAGAGGCACTGAGCTTGGAGCACTTTGTTTGAGCATGCACATCCCCGAGTATTTAAAGCCTGGATTTGATGGAGAGATGACTAAACACCCACAACCAATTAAGATTGTGTTTAAGGAGATAAATGTTTTGCAACTTTTAATAACTTTGCAGATAGTCTGTAAAAAAAAAAAAAGAGTGGAGGAAAAGGAATTGATAGTCCAAATGTCATGAGGTTAAGAATGCTCTTCAAGTGAAATTACTTGGCTGCAAGATGGTTTTAATTAGAGTGTTATAAAGACTTATTTTTCCTAAGCAGCATTTTATAGTTCGTAAATGAAATGTATGCGGAAAGTGCTAAGCAGAAATCTCCCTAACCACAGAGGTGTTCAATAACCAGACTCAAACAACATGGAAAGTACCATCTGTTCTTCGTTTTCAGCATGAAAAACAAGGATTGAATGGCTGAGATTTGCTCCAATTTCAGACTGTGTCTGTGTGCGTTTTTTTTAAATTTAAAAAAAGTTCACCTGGTACTTCATAGAAACTCGAAATTGCAGTAATATGAGCAACACTGTGAAAACACATGTTCCGACATTTATTTTAACCAGTTCCACTTTCATTTAAAAGATTTCCAGAAGCCCAGCCATTGAACACTCTATAATGGTTATTCAGTTCCTGCAGGCGATCACAATGAGGGGTCAGTTCTTCAAAGATCTAACTATTTAGTCAGTACCTGAATTATTCTGTCAATTTCCCCCCTGGAGGCGAGGGGGCAAAGGCTCTCTCTGGTCAGCCTTTATCGGTTAATCTAATTGTATGTGATAGCGTTCTGGACTGGTGTTGACTCTACAGAGACCTTGCTTTCCTTCACAGCCCAGGCCTGTCCCAGATTGTTGCTCTGGAGGAAAATGTCTTTGAAGGATGCTAACTTTTTGAGTCCTTGACTTTCAGACAACTGGGATTTTTCTGGTTCTGGTTTTAGTAAGAGCCTTGGGTAAAACATTATCCTGCCTTTGTTTGAGGTCTTTTATTGAAGCTAATGACTGGGCTTGTGCCTCCCTG